TCATATGGTCCGAACAACACTATGTTCTGTCCTTATAATAGCGAATTTAATTTTCCTAGTGGTTGATAAGAAAAGCTGTTTCCATGAGCTACAGGAAAAATTTACCCAACTATTATAAGGCCAGAACATAGTGTTGTTCGGACCATATGAAAGAGGGATCCTACAAACCCCATAATCGCCTCGAACAACACTATGTTTTGTCCTGATAATAGTGGAGAAAACCTATCCTGATTCATTTTTGTACCTAAATTTAAAATCTCAATATCCCCCTCTAGACAAGCCAACAGCAGCTAATATTTTAACCTTGTTAGTTTGGCGGTGAAAGCTTTCTGTTGATGCAAACATATCTGGTCTTTTCAACTTACGACACAAACACCTCCATTGTTAGTGTAAAATGTATTTATATCAAATCGTTTCTTTTGCAAACTGCGTGAATATTTTTTCGAGCTTATAGTCTGATTCTATGTTGTCATCTCGTATGTTTAATCGCGATTGATCACTGGATGGTCACGTCATCTAGTACATGACTTCGCCAACAGAGTTCACCGAATAGAGCACGATCAACAATCATTAACAGCTTACTCTTCTAGTCGATCTTCAATATTCATTGTTTGATGGGCTTTGACACTAGTCCATTTCGATGCATATCAACTCCATATCCCGTCTACGGACTTTTCTATTCCATAGATAGCATTATCACATCAATTTTGCCACTTTTAAATCGTGTGTATGTCTAATAAAAAAATTTTAATATTTTTCAATTTTAGATCCTCATGACTGTTTACAGCGGTCTTACTCTATTCAACGTTCGGGCATTAATCGCTGGGCAACTTCATCTGAATTCATCTCAAACAAATCCTATCCAATCATATGATACGTAACGTACGACAGATGTCATTTGTCAGGTATCTAATCATCACCAACAACGACAAAGACAGCTTATTTGATTAGCTATTCTACAAGTCGCTATTTTTATTTTACTCAACTTAACGTGGTCAACTTTTCCATTTTACGCATTGCATACTTTTCAGCAAAAAACTATCAGTATTGATCAGATTTTGATCTTGGGATTTTGTAGCGGAATTAGATTGAATCTTCTTTCCACGTGTATGCAATGGTTCTTATTTTCGCTTCTAAAGTTTTTCTCATTTTTGTTTCGTTGATTTTTAGGTAACATTTGTAATGTACACATTAACTTCGAAAACATTTCGTCAAGAGTTTATCTCAACAATCAATCGAATCTCTCTCTCTTGTGTTTTGAGTGTCGGTGTTAGTCTTCTTTTCACCCACATTCACATCGTAAGTTTGGTAAGCGTATCATCTTTTTTCAGTGCTTCTCCACATCCACACCCTGGAGTATTCGTATCTGACCAAGGAAAGACTAATTTCAAAGCCTCAGAGAAAATATTGAGCAAACAATTATTGTGTATGTATGAAGAAACAAACATAAATTTTTTTCATATAAGCAAATAGAAAGTAAAAAAAATTGCACAAGACCATGCTTACTCATATTGTCACTCATACAATGAATCGAATGTCTCATAGCTCACGAAACTATCATACAGTCAAATTATGGTGCTGTACCAATTGTAATTGTAACGTCAAGTGCAAAATAGAAAGAATTGCACACAACGAAAGGAACATCCTAATATGAAATACGTACATGAGCAATAAGTGTCATTTACACAATTCTATACTAACTCAAAGATACGACTGTAGATCATGCATATCACTTAATTAACTAACTGGAATTATTGAACAACGACGATGATTATCTTGCAGAATTTCTTCTATTCAACAAACAGATTTTGACTTAGGATATTTTTTGCGAGAATGTCTTTGACTTTTTTTGATTACGACTTTTCGTTCTGTCAAATCAATATCATTTGTTACGCGAGAATTGTTACTTCGACACACTTTCCATTGTACATGATTGCAACCAAATTTTTTTCTTTGGAAGGAAGCGATACCAAATCAAGATGGTAGAGGAAAGAGAATGATTTCGAAAATTGTTCACGCATTGCTGTTCATATCAGTTATCATAGTCTTTTTATCATATAGCAACTGATTTCTTGTCTGGATCTCAAAAAATAGGTAAACTGATCAATTTTAGTTTTCGCATCATGTGATTGTTACTAAATAGTTATTTGAAGACAAACCATGCAGTTTTCGTACGATTCATAAATTAAATGATCATGGTCGTGAACAACGCTAACATGATAAAGACAACAAGAGATATTATTTGGGCTCACACTAGAAGAGTAACTTAGTTGGTTGGGACTTCTCATGTCAAGGGATTTGTGCTCGAAAGAATGTATGTTGATTTATACCAATGGTAACCAGAGAAGAAATTGATCTGTGATGTTTTAGTGGTATCGAAGCCTAATAGTCTAATTCCACTATTTGTAAATGTTTTCGAATTTAATTAATCAATTATGCTCTTCACATACAAACAAATGTCTCTCTTGTCATTCATAGGAAAATAAACATGTGTGTTTATACAACTTTCTCGATCAAACCGACTTCCTCACCTATGAATGATTGTTAATTTGTCTTGAATACACAACAGCGTAGTCACCATACATTTCTAATCTATTTCTTACTTATGAAAAAGAATGACATATAAATACGTGGACTCAGTTAGTCGAAAAACAAAGTATAATAGTATAGGACTGTGTGTTGCTGTGGATGTGAGTCTAGATGAAAAGAGTACCGTAAGCTATATCTGAGCCCACATCAGATACTCTCTTGCTCATTGTCAATCAATATTATTTTCTTTATCATCGCAATCCTTACTTCCGCTCTTCTTGTTCGTTTACGTATGTCATGTGCACTACTATTTATGATATCAAAAGTTTTTTTTTAATCATTAGTTGGAAATTCCCATAAGTTTTATTTTCCACAATATACATATATATGTGTATAAATGAAGCTATTTTTGTTTTAATCAGAATTACAATGACGCAATTATACGATCAGAAAATAGACTATTTTCAAGTAAAGTTTTATTTCAAATGCTAAATTTCATTCTTATTTTTTTAAATTTATAGTCACTAACTAACTGGAAAGATCGACAATATGTGATTAAGTTTTTGAGTATGTGTGAATAGAATGTCATTGTACGTGAGTTCTACATTTAAATGAAGAAATAGAATAGAATTCAAACATTTAATAATTTTTATTTTTATTTTTGTTAATTTGCTGCTGAAGCATTTTTGACCAACGCTGGTAAATATTTTTCTTTTGATTGATTTAGAAGAACATACTTCACACTAATTCAAGAGAAGTAGAACTCTGATACAAATTATCGGATGAAAGCCGGACAGAATGAGACACATTTTTTGAAAATCACCAATAATAAGCATCAGTAAATACTTAACTAAACAAATTTTGTTCAAAACTATTTGTTTCTTTACAAAATCATTTATTGAATTCATCAAGTCATCCTGAAACAACAAACAATTTCAATCAAACTATATCTACATCGAATATAAAAATTCTTTGGTGACCAAATGGATCAATTATTTAGTACAAATGTTAATACGACATTTCCAATCTTTCCCAATATCAATCAATTGGATCACAGTTAGTTTTAATTTGTTTTTGTCTAATTCTCGTCAGAGATGGCGGAATTCAATTTTATTTAAAGTCTTATCTATATTGATTATTTGTCAAGTGAAAATGAGAAACATAAAGAATGATAACATTGTTTTGTAAGAGATGATACAAAAGAATTTATTCTTCTAAAATAAGATCGAACAATACATAAATCTTGATAATCAAAATTAGAGTAAAGTTTTTTTTTTTAAATTTAATATTAAAATTGCTCATCTTTGAGACGAACTGGTCTCTTGTTTATCTCAGCCGAATCAGATAGCATGATTGTCTTGCCAAGAACATTTTACCTATGATTAACTTTACAAAATGAGTCATCACTAATAAAATTATTTGCGAAAAAAAAAAATCTTTTTAATATACATTACTTAGACAAACAACAACTTGTTGAATATATTTATTCAAATATAATTGGGAAAAATCTTCGAGTCAATACTCCATGGAGATCTCCGGCATCTGAACGTGGTCTAATATTTATTGAATATTACATGCTGAATAAAGTCCTACATTAGTAAGAATAATTGTTGATTCTAAAATAAGAAATAAAATTATTTTTAGTTATGCTAATACACATAGCGAAAATACTGCATGGGCATTGCAAGGTACGAAATTTCGTGAAGGAGCACAAAATTTCAGTTAAATATTCAAAAAAATAATCGACAATTTTCTAGGAACAACAGATGCTATTAGTAAACTTGTCAATGTTTTACATTTAGAATATGAAAAAGTTCGAAGTACAACTGTTATTTTTATTAGTACATTCGAACATCATTCAAATATTTTACCATGGAAAGAAGCTGAACTTGAGGTAAATAATTCCTGAAATCTCATCTTGTAACTTCGTCAAAATATAAGTCAGGTCCATGTTTTTTTAAATAACTTCGGATGAGAACATCATATAGACCTGTAATTTTGACCTTTGAAGAGAGAAAACTTGGGGCCATCGAAATTTAATTCGTCAACAGTTGACCAGTTAGCTGAGTTACTAGTAGAAATTTTTGAAAAAAATATTATGAAATCATTTCTCTTTCGATCTACGCAAGGCCGACATTCGTAGCTTTATTCCTTCAAGAGTTATAAGGCTTTTCTTGAGATCCTCTGAGTTGAATGATGACATTTGTTCATAGTTTCGAATTGATTTGATACTGTTATCTCAATATTTCTGAAATTCCACAATCTCGGGCTCCATATATAACGAAGGAATTGGCATGCTCAACTATTAAGATAATAGTGTGAGATCAATTCGAATCTAAAAACAAATATCACCATTCAACTCAACACAATGAATTAACGTTGTCTCAAGTTAAAAATGTCTACCTTGCGTAGATCGAAAGAGAAATGAATTCAGAATATTCTTTAAAAAAAAACTCTACTCACGTGACTCGTCAACTGTTACATATCAAACGTCCATATATTTCGGTGGCCTTGACTCTTCTCTCTTGAATGATCAAAAACGGTGATCTCTATGATGTTCCTATCAAAAGTGATTCAAAAAAAATATTGACCGGCCTCATATTTTATCGTCAGTAATAGAAAATTGTAATATTTATCTATAGGTTATACGTATTCCTAATGATAAACACGGTCTTATTGATCGAAGTTTTTTAAAAAAAACAATTAAAATATTATCATGATAAAGTTAAAAAATTCGAACTGATGTTGATCGTATTTCAAAACTTGTTCATCATTTATGATGGTTGGATTTTTTGGAATTATGCAACAGCAGCACTTTATGTTAAAATTGATATGAATCTATCAGAAATTGCTTATAAAGATGCTGTTTTCATTTCTATGTACAAATTTGTTGATGGACCATTGACACCAGGTTGATTTTGATTTCATTGAGAAAAGAATTGAATTTATATAAAAAATATCTGGTCCTTTTTTTTTGCATTCAGGTATTTTAATTGCTAAGAAAAAAAACTTTTTATCAATGAAGTTCCGTCTGATCTTGCAAGGTAGTACAGTAGAATTTGTAACTCGAACGCATATAGAATACGTAAAAGATATTGAAATACATGAAGAAGGTGTCACAGCTAATATGCTTGATGTTATTCGAGCTGGTTTAGTTTTTCATTTAAAAGAATCTGTTCGTTGTCATACACTTGAAGCACGTGAAGATGCATTAGTTGCAAAAATTTTTCGCAAGTTTTCGAAATCATCGAAAACTAATTATACTTGAATCAACACAAATATTCCTCGATTATCAATATTCTCATTTTTTATTTATGTACCATTATTTCGTAAATACGTACACCATAGTTTTATTAAATGATTTATTTGGTATTCAAGTACGATCAGGATGTGCTGGTGCTGGACCTTATGTTTTAGTAAGTGAGACATGGAAAGAAATTTTTACAAAATTTATTACAGCTGATGAAAAGTAAGTTTTAATCAGTTAAGTACATTTCATAAATAATTTATATCAATTTTAGTGGTCGATTCAATGGAATTTCTAAAATTGAGTTAATGAAACCTGGTTTTACCCGATTTAATTTATCATATACGGCTGTTTGGCGTCCTCGTGCGATGTCATCAGAAAATATTTTTTGTCACAATTTCATAGTCTTCAAATGATTACTTATGAAAATGGTACAAATATATATATACATATATGTTTTTTTCCTATAGAATCCAAATGCTCCTCACTTAATTAAAAACTCATCTCGAGAGGATCCGATTGAAGAAGCTAAATCAATGGCAAATAATCTACCAAAATATGTTTATGAATATATTGATTTTCGAACGGATCTCCCATTAAATATTACAGATGAATATCAAGATTTTATTTGGTTTGTTTTACCCCAAAAAAAAAATATTCAGTTTTGAACAAAATCAAGAAAATATAATTAATAAATTATTAAAAATAATATAAACTTTGTTGTATTTCTAAACGAATTATAAAACTATTCGTAAATAAAAAGCATGTGTTCATTTTTCTCAGAAATGATTGCTTTCTATATATGTTGTTGCATCCTTGAAATGAGAAGACATTACACAAAGAATATTTTATTGATTTAGTTTTGAAAGAAATAATAGGAAAAAATTACTCGAGCAAGATTCCTTACAGAGTAATGATGCAGTTGATTTCTTTTTTATTTATAACAAAATTTTACGATGGAGAAGAAACCTCCTTCAAGTATATCGGCTTGTTCAAACGTAACACTCTTACGTTTTTGACACACTTTTCTTCTATGATCTGTGGTATTGGTACACCATTATCGAATGTTGAAATAAATCCAACAAAAGGTTTTGTTCTGGTATTATATTTCATTTTTTGAATGACTTCAATGAAATCTTCAGCTGAAAAACAAAATTTTGTAAGTTACTTAAAGTGTATAACTGATGTTGTAATGCGTCGAATTTTAAATTTTCCTCTTCTGTTGTCGCATTAGTATTACTAATAATTTCATTCAATGAGACTAAACTAATAGTTTAACTAACCCAGGTCACAAAAACCGGATCATTTTTAGCAGTAAACCACGGTTTGCCAGCACAAATCACCGGTTAATCGCTGTGATGGAACAGGCAACTGGACCGGCAAAACCACCGGTTTTCTCTGGCTTCCACTACATGGGAAATATGCACTTTTTGTGTTTAGGTGTTCTACGTTTGATCTAAGATAATTAGGAAATTCACATAAACTAGAAAACCTTGACGAATAAAAGATAATATCTGTCGTTAACAATCTGCCTATGAATTATTTTGTTTTTCATGCATTTTTTTTTCCAGAGATTGTTAATATTTAGTCAAAATCTTTCTTTTGAAGGATGTAGATATGGGTGCCGGTGGATGTTCCTGTTGGTATTCAGTTTATCCACATCCACCGTCCGAGTCTACTCGATGGGTTCTAGTTAAAGTATTGATTTAAAACAGAAGTAAAATTGTTTTGTTTTTTGTAGAACAAAATTTATATGTAGAACAGTTGAAGATCTTGGTAACATAAATGTTTCGTTTGAATAGCAGTATTTCAATCATTCATTGTTGCTGAATGTTGACTTAAAGTCAAAAGAAGTTTGTAATTCGATGATTTTAACAATAATCGCAAGAAAAATCATTGCTCCATAGCTATCACTATGATATGGAGAAGTAGTATTAACTAACGGTTTTTTCATCAACAATTTCAAATTGTATTTTTTTCCTCGTAAATCATGAAATATGAAAGATTAAGAAAATGTTTTCAGGGTTTTGAATAGATGAAGAAAAAGTTTGGGACAATATTTATATACTTGTAGCATCCTTAAACTCGTTGAATATATTTATTAATAAAAAGTTTTTGTTTCAGTTTTATATTGTGTTTGTCTGCTTTAAAAAACAACTAAAAGAGAATTATTTATTCCATATTGTTTAATAATATTTGTTTTAGCATTTATACAAAGGACAGTTTTCTGATCGGTGAATGTGAGAATGGGAGTGTGGGCGTTCTCTCAACTAATAGTTGTCTCTAAGCCCACTCTAAATGGACCAAAATGTGGCTCATTTAGACGTAAATAATAAGCAAATAATCATTTTACAATGTTTATAGCTCCTTTTTTTTGTGCCATCGATTCTGTTTGTTGCACAAAAATATCCGTTCTAGTCTGTGTTGTAGGACATCGCCGCCCTATCGTCAAGAACCACACTCCTTGCATAAGCGTTATCGACGTTTTCTATGTGAGCGAATAGGTATAAGAGCATTAAGACGAATTATTCTGGACTTTATCAACTACTTTTTCTTAGATGTTGGTACTAATCACGTTAGTATTTGTAGTTTAGGCATATCTTCATGCTTCGGACTGTATCTGTCGAGAATTTGTTTTTTTTTTGTCGACATTTTGTTTGGTTTACTTTTTTGTTTTTCTATAATATTTTGGTCTCATAGCTTTGTTTGAAACTGTTTCTTCTTCTTTCTTAACATTAAATGTTTAAAAACTTTACCAAAATAGCAAACCTTCACGTCGTGATAAGGAAACAGCGTTTTTCATTTGAATTTTGAGTAAAAAGAAAAAAAAAGAAGAATTTATTGGTTCAACATCACATAGAAAGAGAAAAAAGCGAAAAAGCAAAACTCTTTGTAAGTACCAGTTTATGCTCATGTAAAAAACAATTATGATTTACCTATTGGTTTACAAATTTTTGATAGTCATTGTCATGCTGATTTGTTATTCAATTATGAATTAAGAGCGACTTTAATGAATAATTATCCCATGGAAGAAAATAATACTCATAGATAATCGTCATCAATTTTATCGATGATTTCAAAATTAAGGATTAAAAAATTCTAACACAACAATTTAGACAATATCCGAAACACATCCAAAATATGTGCCAAATTATTTACAACAAGAATATGAACGAGTAGAAAACATTTTCATTAATAAATTAGATATTAAAAGGGTGTAAGCGTGAAGACAAAACCAAACTCACAGACAGTCTGACCCACATCATGTTTCTCGGTTGCGTGACTTTTGGGTCATCCTGTATATCTCGGCAAATACGAATATATCAAAGCTCACTAATTAAGACTTGCTTCTTCTTCAAAAATTAAATAATTCCTTTTTTTAACTAATCGATGGTAATACGTAGAGAATGAAATTGTACACTATCCGTCGGTTGGCTATTTGTAGGCGAAACTGGAGCCAGTGAAAGCACTTATTTTGTATTATATTGAAATAAGAACATGATGACCTTTTTTCCCTTATTTTAGTGAACTTATTTATTGAACCGATAAGATAAATATAGGAATAAAAACATCTGAATATTCAACTAGCAAGTTTTGAATACGAAAGCTGCTTAAGACAGTATGGAGTTGAATCCCAATCAGTCACTATTCATAATTCTGAAGTGAGTATTTATTAATTACCACTTCCTTGACCCCGATATCGTTGAGCACACCAAAGCGTAATGACAAGAGTCAATATGAATGGAATATCTCTCTCGTGAACCCGTTCGGTAATGTCAACCGTATAGCGTTCGGCAAATGCCGGAAATTTTCGTTTAACCTCAGCGATTTGTATGCCGTCTTTGCTTAATGTATACTCGCTAGAGGTCATACCTCCGTTTCGTTGCATCAAATAATCACCATAGATCGAATGTATTTCCAGTGTATGTTTTAATGGAGAGCCAACTTGTTTGACACTAGCCAATTTGTTTTCTTCATCGTCATCATTTGTAGTGGCATTGTATATATGAAATGTAAGATGGATATGTTTCAATTGTTGTCGAATTTTGTATAATTCAGTACCATGACTATCCATCACTGTCAGCTTATCACCAAGAGCAAAAAAAGTCGACTTAACCGTATACAAACAATTATCATCTTCGTCCATAAGAGAGAACTTCTGATCAAGTGAAGTGGGACGTTCTTCAATTTGAAAACGACGTATTTCTTTTGAAGCCATTTTGTTATTGTGATTGCTTGTATGTCACTTCATATATATATACCTCTAGAGAACAAGCAATACTGCCTTCAAGAGAAGAAAAATGATGACGGCACGATGAGGTGTCGAAGAATCACAAAACTCTAGTGATGTGCGCATGACTGAAAGAAAAAAATGACTTCAACGTCAATGAAGTAAAGAAAGAACAAAAATGGTGTATGACGTCAATATTATGCCGCAATCATCATTCATGAAGCGACAAGAGAAATAGAATAGTGTTATTCTTCGTTCCTTCTCCTATGTAAAAATATGGTAACTAGAAAAAAAGTGACTTTCAAGGATCCTAGGCTGATGTAAAAGTGGTGTGGGTGTGGGTGAGGAGAAGATTACCAAGTACCAACACTCATACTCACCCACCCCGTTTTCAGAATATACAAACGGAAAACCACTAAGAACTTCAAGCAACTGATAATAATTGATGTTTGTTTCTTTTTTTAAAAATTACTCAATGGAAGAACTACAAAATAGACTCCTTCGAAAGTAAACCAGTTTTCTGTAACCTAATAAGTGTATTGTGTCAATGTAGAAGGTAACTATCAATGAGACAATTTGACATGAAACGATACTTGACAATATTATATCGATTATTCTCGTAAGATGTGACAAATGAGAACATTGACAAAATAATAAAACTATAACAAGATAATTGTCCACACCGAATTGAAGTAGAATTGATTCTTCAAAAGTAAAAATAAAAAGCCTATAATTCGTTAGTTGATCAATGAAGAAAACCATAATGACAAATGGCCCATAAATCATTTGTATCGGTTTTCTATTTTGAGCTATAAATGAACATAAGATAAAAGTTAATTCTTCGTATATAGAATTAAAGCAAACAAAGATGAAATATTTCCAAGGAAATATATCACTTTTGTTATATTAGCTACGAGGATAATGAATCAGTAACGGATTACTGTCGAGAAGGCCCCTTCAATTATGATTTTGAGGACATATACACAAATATATATTATCAATAAAACGCAATAGATTGATATTTTTGACAACAGAATTCGCAATATTTGAAGGGAGATAGTCCCAGGTAAAAATAAATTACTCTTATAAAATTTTCTTTATAACGATCATTGACAAGCTTTTGGATATCGTGAACAATATTTGAACGTGATAACAATAATGTTTCGTGTCGGCTTGAATCATCACATGAATCGATGAACTATTAATGTGAACATCAATCAAATATGTTACGATTTTTTCATCAGAATAAAGCTGAATGAGAACGATTTTCGATATGGTATATTCCTAGTGTGCATAATACAAAATTGGACATGAATGTTTCTAAATATGTTGAGAAGCAACAATCAAATTTGTACAACAACAGATCGACATTAAATATTTTAACTAATATGCAATCGAATCTAATGCTTTTCATTCTCACATTGCTTTACAAAATAATTGTCAATATACAAACAAAAATGTCGGTTTAGTACTGATTTAACAAAAACAAAACATCATCCACATTCATCTACGCCCAAACTCATTCAACGTTTTCTGTTGATTGATGAATACTTCAGTGCATTGATTTTCCATGAGGAAGAATCACAATGACAGTCGAACTTTAAGCTATATGAAATTCTAGTTTTTCTAATGAAATAGAACACAATGTTGGAGATATAAATAAAAGGAGAGGCTGTAATTAGATGGCTTCATTTTGCGCATCAAAGTTTTGAAAGCCTTCATTACTATCATATTCAAATTTAGATATTTTTTCTTCAATTTCCAGAAATTTAATAATAATTTTTGAAGAAGAAAATTTAAATTTCAACTCTGATATATCTATCGTTAGATAGAGCATCAAAAAGTATTGTTGACAGTAATTATAGCAATACAAATAGTTATTGACAGCCAAATGAGATATGGCGAAAGCATATTCATATTTTTAAAAGTCCAATGAAAGAATGGACTGAGTTTCGCTCGCTAACAAAGTAAAAGTAAGAGAAAGAATAATGTCGCATGTTGTTTGTCTACTTATGAGATATCATTTACGATGTAATATCGAAAGAATCCGACCATTGTCGACACGATTCCACTTGATACACAACATATACATCGAGCAGCACTTTCGATGAATATGATTCGTCAAAGATTAACCAAATCATGCTATCATCCATAAAAATATCCATCAACTGTAATATTATTCTTTCTTCTTCATTCATACCCACATTATTTGATTAGTTACTATTGCTATCAAATACTTATTTCAAATATATTCAAAACGTTTTTTGAATGTGCTTCGAACATAATGTATACAGTTTTGAAGCAATAAACTTGATCCTCATGAGAATTATGATTACTCTTATGAGATTTATTAGGGAAGATAACGTACAAACCATTTCTTTCTAATCTATGTTAAAATATACTTGATTTTATGCTCAATAGACTATTGGTGAATGAATGATGCATTATAAATGATTTGATTTTTCTTTACATAATTGATACATGCAATAGTTCCACATATCCTTATTAACATATTTCTATCAACACTTTACTCTGATAATAATGATGTTTAATCGAAAAGAAGTACATTTGAAAAGTCAATATGATTAGTCCAGTTCTATTTCGAAAGTCGGCGAATATTCGATTTCATCTTCCATACTTTATCATGCCAAGGATACAGACATTTCCTGTAGATAGCTAATGCTTCTTGATAGTAATGAAGTGCCAATGTAGCTTTACGAAGCTTTTTGTAAATTTCACCTATATTTGATAAACTATCACCAATATCTTCATGATCTGGTGGTAGAACTTTGAGACGCATTAAGAAACAATTCTGTTCATATGTTAGACAGCGTTCATACTGGTTCTTTGTTCTTGGTACTTGTGACAACCATGTTAGTACGTTTATAATGGAGATATTCGTTGGAAATGAACTAGCTTCTACAACCAATAACCATCTTTCCAAATATGGAATAGTGAGATCAAACTGGAAATTTCTATCGAAGTTAGCAGCGATCCAGGATAGGCAACCAGCAATATCAATATGATCATTGGGGTAATATTCTTCGAATATGGTTAATGCTTGCCGATAAAAATCAAGAGATTCATCATATTCTCTTTTGTAAAACAGAGTATTACCGATGCTCTTAAGACTGCTAGCAATTTTGAATCGATCACTAGGCGAGTTACTTTTGAGAACTGCCAATGCTTCTTGTTGAAAGTCGAGAGCCTCATCATTTTTTATTTGTATTTTGAAAACTTCAGCTATGTTGTTCAGACAAGTAGCAGAATCTGGCTGATGGGGCGCATATTTCTTGTAAAATGTCACTGCTTGGTAATAAAAAATGAGAGCTTCATCATATTTTTCTTGGTTACAAAATATATTACCAACACAATTTAGACAACTAGCAATATTTGCATGATTGGATGGATAATATTGCTCAGAAATTGTCATTGCTCGTTGGCAGAAATCGAGAGCTTCATCATATTTCTCTTGCGTATTTAGGAGCATTCCAATATTTATCAGATTCTCAGCAATATTAGCATGACCAGATGGATAGCATTTTTCAAGAATTGTTAGACCTCGCTGATAACAATCGAGTGCTAGATTGTATTCTCCTTGATCAATTCGAATGCCACCGATTCGTTTCAGACTGTCCGCAATGTTCTCATGACAAGAGGAATAATTTTCTTCTCGAATTGTTAATGCTCTCTGTTGAAACTTGATAGCTTCTTCGTATTTTTCTTGTGTGCTCATGACATCAGCAATATTGATGAGACCATTAGCAATATCAGCAGGATTAGATGGGAAGCATTTTTCGCAGATTTCCAACACTCGGTGATGGAACTCAAGAGCTTCATCGTATTTTTCTTGTTTGCTCAGGACATCAGTAATATTGATGAGACCATTAGCAATATCAGCAGAATTAGATGGGAAGTATTTTTCGTAGATTTCCAACGCTCGGTGATGAAACTCGAGAGCTTCATCATATTTTGTTTGTTTACTCAGAATAATAGCGATGTTGCCCAAACTATAAGCAATTTTCACATAATCAGAAGGATAATGTTGTTCTTGTATCATCAATGCTCGTTGGTGGAACTCGATAGCTTCATTATACTTTTCCTGATCTCTTAGAATATTGGCGATATTTATGAGGCTATCAACAATGTCAACATAATTAGTTGCATCAAACTTCTCTCGAATTGTAAGTGCTCGTTGATGGAAGTCAAGAGCTTCATCATGTTTTCTTTGCCAATGCAGGCCATTACCAATATGGGTAAGAACGGTAGCGATGCTAGCATAATCAAATGGATGGAATTTTTCTTGAATAGTTAATGATCGTTGAAAGAAATCAATAGCTTCACCATACTTCTCTTGACTATATAGGACAACACCAATAAATTTCAAGTTTTTCGCGATGTCGACCTGTGCTAATTCATAATTTTTCTCTTGAATAGCTAAGGCTTTTCGATAAATCTCAATGGCTTCATCGTACTTATTTTGTTGATGCAGAGTGTTACCAATAAAGCTGAGAGTATAAGAAGTTTCAATGTGACTATCAGGATAGATGTTCTCTTGTATTGAAAGTGCCCTTTGATAATAATCAATTGCTGCATCATACTTTCTTTCATCATACAGAACATGACCGAGACGATTGATGGTATCAGCTATGATGGCATTGCTTGATGAGTAATATTTCTGTTGAATATGCAATGCTTGTTCATAAATACTCAAAGCTTCATCAAGCTTTCCTTCGCGATAGAGAATGTAACCCATGTGGTTGAGGATAGAGGCGATGTACACGTGTCCATTTGGATAATATTTTGTATAGATTGACATCGCTCGTTGATAGAAATCGAGGGCTTTATGGAAATCATTTTTATCAGTAAGAACATGACCAATGCAGTGAAGACTAACAGCAATATCGATGTGAGGAAATTTATAATATTCTTCGAGCATTGCTAGTGCTTGTTGATGAAAGATAAGTGCTTCGTCATACTTGGCTTGCCGAAAGAGTATTTTGCCGAAGCTACGTAGACTAGTAGCAATAGGTAAATGACCATCTAGGCGAGTCGCACATAGCTGTAAACAACCGGTTTCTTGAAAGTTTCGACACAGCTCTTGTAACTGAGTTCTGTTTGACGCATATTTCGAGCGGAACCAACGAGAAATTCCTATAAAGTATCTAATCCCAAACAATCCGGAATATGATGGAAAGAATTCGCCTAAATTCAATAAAATTGGCCGGAACGATGCGCTAATACGACTTAGTAAACTGCTCTGTTGGTTATTCGGTGGACAGAATCTATCAACCTTGGTTGAGGAATAATATTCTTTCCGTATTGCAAATGCTCGTTCATAATAATCATGAGCTTCTTCATACTTTCCTTCTAGATAGAGAATCTCCCCAATATTGAAGAGTATATCAGCTGAATCTTTTATCCGTCTTGGTTTCATATTTGTCATCCGATCATAAGCAAGATTATAATATTTCCGTGCTTCACTCCATTCTCCTTTCCATTGAAGAACTTCACCAAGGTTGCACTCAATCTTTGCGACATCTTCATTGTTGCTATTGGAGTTGTTCAATAAATGTTGAAAGAAATGTTGTGATTGATTCCATTGACCCATATCACACATCAATCGTCCAAAGAGAATTCTTATGCTTAGACCTTCCATTTGATGATGTGAGTCTTTAATATATTTTTCTTTAATAATTTCACCATCATTCGATGCACTCATCTTAATCAAGTACATGTCTTCCTTCATTTTTACACTCTTCAATCGAAAAGTAACATTTGTGTCGAAGATAATTTCTTGTTGTTGTTCATATGGAAATTCTCTGAAATGAATGCTATCAGCAATAATGAAACTGTTCTTCAGATGTTGAAGATCGCATTGAATTTCTAGAAGAACAGAAATAAGATCAGTTCGTTTCGAAGATTTCATTGCTTGGTTGAATGCAGTTGAACGAAGAATATTTGTTGTAAAAAATCCATTGATTGAAACAAGTTTACCTTCGTTCTCTTTGAATTTCTCGATTTGATCACTTGTTAATTTCATTCCTCGATATGAAAATAGTGTTTCTTCAACATACTGAACCATATTTTGTCGTTCTCGAACGAGATTTTGTGTCACATCTTTCATAAAATAGCGATATGTGCAAAGTTGATCGAAATCTTTGGTTCTTAATGCTTTTTTGATAATTTTGTAGAAAAATGATTTGCTCAAATACCATTGAAGAGCTTCTTTAGATCGATATTCATTTTCAAACTTCTCAATTGCTTCCAATTCTTTGATATTGTCTCGATAATAAGAACGACATTCATCTATCATTTCCTGCTTGGCTTCTTCATCATGTGTTAGCTCGAAGAGAATATCATGATAAAGTTGAAACCAAAGAAGATCAGCAGTTTGTTTAGATAGATCTTTTGTCGAATGTTCATCTTGATCGAAAAAACTAAACGTTTCTAAATTTTGATCGAGAAAATCGATTTGTTCTTGAATTGACAAGCACAATAAATCGAGTTCTTCATAAATACCAATAAATTTTGAATGTTCAAAAACTAAATGTTCATGATTGAGTTTTTCCCAGTTGAAGACAAATATGCTGTCAACTTGACATAGTGCTGTCATATGAGATAATATCTGTGATGCATCATATATTGAAGAGATGAAGATGATTTTTTCATTATGAATCGATTGAATGAAAGTCATGCAAGATTCGAGTTGAGTGTAGAATACAACATAATCATTGATTTGACGTAGTTGTTCGATTGTTTGTTCTAGATGATTATTAGAATCGATCTTTGAGTCGAACCAAATCAAAGTGATATCTTCTTTGTTGTTAGTTCTGTTCATTATTTCTGATGAATTTTTCAAGATAACAGAATGTGTTGCAATGAATGATAAACTTACTAAAGTAGTTGTTGAATAGAAATGTCAAAAAGACACTTGAACAAGAAAACAATTGACTTTATATCTTGAAATAATGGAAAAAAAATCGTAAATATTTATAACACAAAAAATATATAGGTGTTTAGATCACTCAATGTGCCATCAGCATTGGTGGATTACATTGATTTCGGAGGAAAATTTCATTTGACATATTCTGTCATATTGCTGACTAAATAACTCTGCTCAGAAACGATTCACAAAAGTAAGGAATCTATCAATGTCCGACATCGATCAATTTTTCGTGCTCCGATCCAACCTGAGCCTAGCTCAAAGATATTTTTTTGTCAAGAAAAACGAGTTTTTTTCACAGATTAACAATCTTTTCGATGTATCTGTATAACCTCTCTCAATATTTGAAACAAAGAAACCATTATCTCGTCTGAAATTGCCGTTTGTCTTATACCAAGTTCAAAATCGGTCAACTGTTACTGATCCAATCCGAGTCTGACACTGGAATCTATCAAAGAAATAATCAGTAGAATTCGTTTGCAACGAGTCGATTGTTCTTGGCCCTTCAAGACAGATCTGGCTTATCATTTATTTTGCGATACATGTCGCAAAGAAAAGAAAACAGTCTAAGTCATTCTCGTACATATTTCACTATCATGATAAAGTCACATATAATTTATATTTAATTTAATCTTTAATTATTCTCTTCCTTGTAGTCGATCTATAGATTCATTATTTATTTTGTTTGTTTTCCAGTTACGTTTCGGCAACGATGTTTCCTTCGTCGGACTATTTTAATTTTATGTTTATAAACATTGAAATATACAGTGGGCCGAAAAATTATCCTTACACACCTATGTGAGGATGAATTATTTTCTTCTTTATCTCTATTTTCTAAACAAGATGATTCAGTGATGCTAAATTTTCATACCGAAAAATTATTCGTACAGCTTCAAAAGTTTATTCATTTTTAATCAATAAATATTCATGATTCTAAGTCTTAGTGAGTATATTCCACTTCAAACAACCTAATAAGGCCAATTAAAAAAGGGACTTTGGCAGATGAATCTTCTTGAAGCTTGTTGTTTTTCGAATTAAGCCAGATTGAGACCGGAATATAACAGAAAATGTTCATAACGACAAATGCATTGATTTTCAACAGCATTGGATCGGATTCGGATGGGGAAAATGGCGACAAACTAATAAAATGACCTTCAGATTTCATTACCATCCCACGAAAAAGAATCGTTTGAGAAACGAAAGATAAAGCACAATGAAAACTAATGTCATAGCCGGATAGAGCACATAAAGTTACACTAGAAAATATAGTTGCTCTAAAGTTTTACGGCTTTCCTGGAGGGCG